CAGTCTGTTAAGCTCAATAAAAATTCAAATGTTTATCTCTTTATATTACAACATTTTTAATGCTTCACATTAATTTTCCTTTATCATTAGAGATACAGCTTTTCACAGAATTAGTTCATTCAAATGAGAAGGAATTACTGTAATTAATCTTTTCTTTTGCAATGTTGGGGATCAACCCCAGGGCCTCCCACATGCTAGGCAAATGCTCTACCACTGAGCTACATCCCCAGCCCCCAATCTACTGTTTTAAACAAAACTCCCTTCCTTTTAAATGTTTACCATCGCTGGGCCTGGTGGCACACACCTGGAATCCAGCGACACAGGAGGCTAAGGCAGGAGGATTGCAAATTCAAGGCCAGCCTCAGCAACTTAGCAAGACCCTCAGCAAATGAATGAGACCCTATCTCAAAATAAGAAACATAAAATATCCTTTGGGGAAGGGAAGGGAAGGGAAGGGAACCGAAGACAGAGGCTAGAGACGAGTCCCCTGCCCTGCCAACTGAGGTAAGGATGTTGCAATCTGCCTTCTGACCCCTGCTCAAGAGCCTAGGAAATACCCAGTGGAGATAGCCTGAATTTGATGGAAAGACACTTTTTTTTTTTTTTTGGTCTGTTTGTCTGTTTTCAGATGAACCCAGGGCCTTATAATGTAAGGCAAGTGCTCTGCCCCTGGCAAGTGACCTCTCTGAGCTGCATCCAAGTGACTTCTGCCCATGCCAATGGTCAGGAGTTTCTTTCTCATGTGGGTCTTAGATCTGCTTTTGGAACTCAGATTCTGTGGGTCTGCAGAGAACGTGCTTCCCCCAGGACAGCCCTGCAGATGCAAGTGTTGGGGGCCTAGCTGAGGGCCTTCAGGGGAGGCCATGCCCACCTCCCAAGCCTGCCCCATCCGGGTCACCACCAGTACTTCCTCCATCCTTCACTGTGGGTGGACCGAGCACAGATGGCCCTGTGCTTTCCTAGCTCTGGTTTACCAACAAGAGGGAGGCACAGAGGGTTAGAGAACGTAAGCGATCGCCCACCCACCACGCCACGGAGACAGACCACTTGAGCCCACGCAGCCTCCCCTTCTTTCATGATGGTCTCAGGGCCATTCTGAGATCCAGCCCTGAGGTCCACCTTCCCTTCCTCTCAAAGTCCTCCTGGGGACCAAGGGGACCTGCGTGGGCACTGGGATGGCAGCTGATGGGGCAGTGGGCAAAAAGGGTGCTCAGGGTGTGAGGAGAGTCCAGGGCAGCCTGGGCCAGGCCGTGACCTGGGCAACAGTCTACAGATGGACACAGGCCCAGAGGGTCCCCTCCACCCTCCCTGCTCCCCAACTGTGAGGCCAGCTCAAACCGGAAGGGATCTGGCCTCAGGCTGCTGGGACCTTGGGGTCAAACTTCAGTTCTGGTCTCCTCACCTTTTACTTGCTCTCTGACTCTGGGCAGTTCCCCTCCTGGCTCCGGCTGTCAGGCTATAAAGTGGGAGTGCCTGAGAGGGCTGTGGGAAGGACTGGCTGCTGGGAGGTGGCTTGCCTCAGAGGCTCCAGAGGCCACTCGTTCCTAGGCTCTTCCTCCTCACTGCTTGTGCCCAGGGCAAGTCTCTGCTAGGAGCTGGCTGGCCTGGCTCCCCAGCTCTTTCTGACTCCCCAGGGGAGGAGGACTCCACCCTGACACCTGGGGGCTGGTGAGCTTTGTACAGGGGTTTCACTTCCTGTGGCTCTTTCTTCTTAGTGACAACGGGGTTCCTTTTCAGGTAACAGTACACAGTTTCCTTTGAAAATACAGTTATTGGAATAAAAAAGCCAATGTAAAGAAAAATCATTAAGGGGCTGGGTGGTGGCTCAGCAGCAGAGCGCTCACCTAGCATGTGCGAGGCGCTGGGTTCGATCCTCAGCACCACATAAAAGTAAGTAAACAAAACAAAGGCATGCTGTCCATCTACACCTAAAAAACGATATTAAAAAAAGAAAAATCATTAAGGATTTTACATGTGGCTGGGGATCTCCCACAGCAGTAGAGCATATGCCTAGCGTGAGTGAGGGCTTGGGTTCCATCCCAGGAGAAAGAGAGAGAGAGATCTTTTTATAAGAGATAAAAGGGTCCAAGATCCTTTATTCTGTTTGCAGAATTAACTGCCCTGGCATCGCACTATTCTAGGAAGGGAAACAGTCATGAACAAGACAAGAGCACCCTCTGCCCTAATAGCTCATGTTCTAGGGCAGGGGACCAGCAGGACAAGGAGTGCGTAAGAGACATGGAAAGCGTGTTCAGTTTGCAAGAGGAAAACAGTGGAGATTGTCAGCAGTAGGTGATGTCTTTGTCCTCTCCAGCTACTGTAACAAGATAACACAGATTGGGTGGCTTATAAATAACAGAGATTCATCCTCCACAGTTCTGGAAGCTTAGAAGTCTAAGGTCAACACATCAGAGATCCAGTCTGGGGAGGACCTGCTCTCATAGATGGCATCTAGCTGTGTCCTCAGAGTGGAGGAGGAAGGGATCTCAGGCTTATTTATTTATTTTTAGTACCAGGGGCACTCTACCTTTACATCCCCAGCCCATTAAAAATTTTTATTTTGAGACAGAGTCTTGCTAAATTGCCCAGACTGGCCTTGAACTTGTGATCCTCCTGCCTCATCCTTCCAAGTGGAGTCTCTGGGGTTGCAGGCGAGTGCCACCAAGGCAGCCTCAGATCTCTTTTATAAAGGCTGTAATCCCATTCCTCAGGCCCCATCCCCGAACCACCTCCCAGTACTGTCATATGAATTCAGTGGGTGTGTGGGTGGTGGTAGGGGACAGTCATTCAGACAAGAGCAGATAGTCTTCAAAGCCACAGGACTGGTGACACCATCAGGATAAAGAGCTTTAAGGGGACAGAAGATCAAGAGCAGAGCATGGGCCCTCACAGCCTTTAGAGGTTGGGAGGGGAGCCAGCCATGAGGATGACCAGGAAGGATGAAGAAGTACTGGGCAGGTGAGGTGTCCAGGAAGCCAAGAGGAAGTGCTGTAAACGGAGGGGGTAGGCTGTGACAAACATGTCTGGAGGGCCCAGTAGGAGAAGGCCTGAGGCTCAGGCATTGGATTCGGGAACACAGACAACAGCTCAAGAATGCAGTTGAGGGCTGTGCCTGGGGCTCAGTGGCAGAGCAAGGGGGAGGCCCTGGGTTCAATCCTTAGTACTGAATAAAAATGAATAAGTAAAATACAGGCATGCTGTCCATCTACAACTACAAAATAGAATTTTAATAATAATAAAACAGAATGCAGTTTTGTGGATGGGGAGGGGGACAAGAGCCACTGGGGGAGTTTTCAGGGAGAATGGGAGGAGAGTTGTGGTCAATTCTTTGAGGACCTCTTTTTTTTTTTAGTACCAAGGATTAATTCCAGGGGTGCTCAACCACTGGGCCACATCTGCAGCCCCCTTTATTTTCTATTTTGAGACAGGATCTCCAGAAGCTGTTTAGGGCCTCACTAAATTATAGAGGCTAGCCTTGAACTCACGATCCTCCTGCCTCACCCTTACCAGTCGCCCGGATGACAGGCATGCACCACCACACCTGGCCCTCCTTCCTGGCCCTTCTTGGTCAGCCACATGGGAAGGAGAAAAGGGAGGCACCAGTTCCTGAGCACGGGGAGGGGTAATAAGGGGAGATTAGTTTTCCTGTTTGACAATGGGATCAATGTCAAATTGGGATTTGACACAATGGGATCAGCCTGACCTAACTTTCTAATCAGCCCATAACAGTTTCGCCTGGGGTGGCGGTGATGGATTCTGGGCGGTGGTGTCAGGCTGACAGACCTGGGTTCCCACCGTGATGCTGCTTGTGGACTGGGGGACATTCATCGGTGTTTAACCACAGCGCCTGGACGGGAAGGATTCAGGGAGAGGGGAGAGAGGCAGAAACATTGACTTGAGGATTGGACCAACAATGCAAAGGGCCATCAGGGCCAGAGGCCTGGAGATGTCTGCCTGGTCTCAGGAGGGAGGGGGAGTGGGTGCCACTCAGAGGTGGGGGTGGGAGCTGGTGGGATTGTCAAAGCGCATTTAGTGGGCACTTACTGTGTGCCAGCTCTCACAGCTACAATGGGTTGTTTCCATTTTCTCAGCTGCCTGGGAGAGGCTGGGCGGGGAGGAAGTAAAGACCACAGGATTGCGCATCGAACCCAGGAGGAAGCAAGAGGGGAGAGGAGCTTTCGAGAAAATAGCTGAAAATCAGTGAAACACTGGGATGAAGTCCCTTCCCCCACCCCCACTCCCCGTTTTGTTAAGGCCCAATCCTAAAATTCCAAATAAAACTCTGGGTCTTTTTGAAGAAAAGACAAAGGATTTCTTCTGGTCAGGGCCAGGGGAGCAGAAAGCAGACAGTTCTGCAGCCCAAGACACTGAATGCAGGTGGAGGGGCCATTCAACACAGAAATCCAACCAAGAAGGGGTGGGAGAGGCACGTACAACCATAAGTCATAAAGCGGAAAGTACCAACTAACAGAACATTTTTAGAATTCACACTTCTAGTATCTACTCAGACAGCTCCATAGTTTAAAGACGTTGTGGTCAGGGTGCAAGTGGGTGGGGGTGCCAGCTTCTGTGCGAGTGGGTTCTTACAGGAAGGGGGCCAATCCCAGGGCAGGGTGAGCTGTCTGAGCACAATGGGATCAGCCTGACCTAACTTTCTAATCAGTTTCACCTGGAGTGGGGGGTGATGGATTCTGGGCGGTGGTGTCAGGTTGACAGACCTGGGCTCCCACGGTGATGCTGCTCGCGGACTGCGGGACATTCAAGTTACTGAACGCTCTGAGCCTCAGGCCTCCCATCTGTTAAATGGGGAAAGGGGTTATAAACTCTTAGGTTGGCTCCGTACCTGTTGGGCGCAGGCCCGACCCTAAGGAGCGGGAAGGAGGTGCTGGCCCGGAGCCGGCCGCGGGCGTGAACCGACCCTGCAGCTGGGCACCCGACTGCCGGGCGGGGCGGGGCGGCACTGACCCCGCCCAGGGCCGGGGGCGGGGCGGCGCTGGCGCCCGCGGGGTTCCCGGCACTGCCCCGAGCAGCCTCTGGGGCCGGTGTGGGCTGCTCGCCTCCGCTGGAGCCGGAGGTACGAGGGGCCAGCGGGCGGGGTCCCGGGCTTGGTCCGGGCCGGGGTGGCTGCGAGGCGCGGGAGGGCTTGGCCGCCGCCCTGGCCACCTGTTCTAGAGGCGACGTTTGTGCGCGCAGACACCCGGCGTGGAGGTCCCGGCCACCTCCTTCACCCAGCTGCGCCCGAAGTTGAGCGCCGCGGCGGGACCGCGAGCCCTGGTGGCGAGCGGAGAAGGTAGCAGCCCCCGGGAGCCCTCGCCCAGCCAGTTCCGCCGAGGGATGGGGCGCCCGGGGCGCGGAGCCCCGTCTGGAGCCGCTCACCCCGCCCTGCGCTGCGACCTTGGGCGCGCCGGGTCGGGGGTGCCGAGTGGTCTGGGGAGGCCGCGGCGGGGTGCGACCGCCGGAGGCCGAGGGAGCGGCCGGCTGCGGGGAGAGCTGCGGGGACGGCGGCGGCGCCCGCCCTGGGATGCAGAGGCTCGGGACGTGCGCGGGGAGGACCCTCCGGGTGGAGGAACCGCCTGGGTAAGGGCTGGGACCCCGGAAAGCCGCGGAGCCCCCTCCTAGGCATCCGCAGAGGCCCTCCGGGCGTCCGCTCGCCCCTCCACGTCTCCAGCTGGGAACACCGAGGTCCCAGCGGAGCCCTGGTGGGCTGGGACGAGCTGCGCTGGAAGATCCGGTCCCCGGGTCGGCGCCGCCTCGCCGCTGGGCTGGACCTCCATGCCTCGGCTTCCTTTTCTGTCACTCGCGGGTAGAAGTTTCCACCTCCTTGGCAGATTCAGCTGAGTCTTTGGCTCTGAGAGGGTTAAAGAGCGCGTCCCCTGCACCCACTGACACGGCCCTTTTGCCCTCCCCTCCCCCCAACTCTGAGTGGTTCACTGTTCCCTGCCCTCCCTTTGGGGTCACTGAGAACCATTTATCCTCTCATTCATCAAATGCCCCAGCACCTGGCCTGTACCTCAGGCCTTCCTGTTCTCTCCTCCAGCCGCTGAAGGGTTTCTGCTTTGCCACCTTCCAAAGAACGAGGAAGCCACCCTGCCCAGGGACACAGAGCAGGGCCAAGAGTGGGCCAGGACTTCTACCCACCGTGCTGCCCCCCACCCCCAGCTCTTCAAACATGATGGGGGTCCCTACCCCTGACTTCCACCCTGTGCTTCCACAGCTGAAATCCCCGAAAGGAAAGTCCTCAAAGCAAAGAACAAAACAACAGGAAACAAAGGGAGAGGGGAGCTGTCCTTCTCCCAGGTGTCCTCCTTGTGCCCCAGGTGTGTGTCTGCACGGCTGCTAGGACAGCCCAGCATTAGAAGACAACCTCTGAAGTGCAGATTCTTCTCTTAAAAAAATGTGTTTTGCTTCCTTGTACCAGTTGCTCTCTGCAGCTGTCTAGGCTAATAGGAGTTTTCCCCTTGTGGGTTGGGTCAGGGCTGGTGAGTGACAGGGTTCACAGAACCACTAGAGGTGGCTTGTGTGGAACATCAGGAGATTATGATCCACCTCACCAGCCCCAGCCAGCAACTCCTAAACACCCCTGGCCATCCAGACCTCCAAGGTCCCAGCATGGAGGATGGCAGCAGGTAGATGACTTCACCAGCAGCGCACCTCCCAAGCTCTGGAACACACTCCACCCCAGTCTCCCCACCGCCTCCCTCTCAGGTACTTCCTAAATGTGCTCACAACTCCTGCTGATTACCCTGCATTTTGTTCCTCTCACTTGGATCTTCCCCTCCTCACCTCCAAGGAGGAAGGAAGCTTCTGGAGGGAAGGGACCTTGTCCAAATCCTGGTGTCCAAGTGCTCAGGCTGGTACCTAGTAGGTGCTCACTAAATGTTGCTTGAATGAATTAACTGAACAAAGTAGGGAGGAAAAATTCCACATTTGCATCATTTGGAGCTAACTATTGTTAAAATTGCTCCTTTTTTGCCAGGTTTTTTTTTTTTTATATATTTGTTTTTTAGTTGTAGTTGGACTCAATATCTTTATTTTATTTATTTATTTTTATGTGGTGCTGAGGATTGAACCCAGGGCCTCGCACTTGCTAGGTGAGTGCTCTACTGCTAAACCATAACCCCAGCCCTTGCCAGAATTTTAAAAAACACCCTTTTCCATATTTGAATATCTTGTCTTACAGTTGTTTTAATAGGATAATTTCCTGAGCGTTTCTCACCTGTCATTTTTGTATTTTTCAATTCTTACATCTTGTTACATCATATTTATTTGATGGATTGCCTTTGATATTTAGGTTTTTCAATAAATATTTGGCTTTTTAAACACTTCATTGAATTTATGCATGTACTTTTCCTGGAAAGGAATTCACCTGCTAGTCTGTGATCTGAATGAATTCTACAACAGCTGTGCCTCCAGCCAGCTGGCTCCACAGGGGGCCTGTGCCCATGTGCGATTCCTGGGGCTGCGGGTGAGTGTTCTCACCATTTCCTAGAAATGGCATTTGTAGGTCAGTGGTCTGAGAACCTGGGGTCTTCCTGTGTTGCTTATCGATTTGCTTGAGCTCATCAGTGAGGTTTTTGCCCTGTCTGGTCTCCTGTGGTGAAGGGCTTTTCGCAGTGTGTGTGGGGTGGAGTTTTTAATTTTTGTTTTGCTCTGTCTGTGTGTGCGCTTTTGTGAGGCTGACTTGGCTGCATTAGCAGCGAGTGGGAAAGGGAGCGAGCAGAAGCCCTGGAAAAGGATGGGCAGGTCTGTAAATGGAGGTCCCAGGGGATGCCCCAGAGGCCAGGAGGGGGCTGAGCGGGCACTTGATGAGCAGGCTTTGGTCTCCTTAGAGGGGGTCTCAGTGCAGTCTCAGCCCCCTTGGTGCCAGCTGCCAGCGCTGAGCGGGGCCTTCCATGAGCCTCATCCCCTGAGCCCTCTTCCTTGGGAGGCAGCAGGTGTAAACATCCCTGCTGACAGGCTCCAGAGGGACGGGAAGTGCCCTGCGCCCTGCCCGAGTCAGTCAATGAGTGGCAGGGCTGGGTTCAAAGTTCGCCCTGCGGACCGCAAGCCGTGCACTCTCAGCGCATGGATTCCTCCGCGACCCTCCATGTCTGGTGGGTTTTGGGGGAGTGGTGCCACTCTGCTGTTCTGGTATGTGGTGAGCAACCTCTCCTCTCCTCTCTGCCTCCTTTGTCTCCCTCTGGGCAGATGTCAGTGGGTCCAGGAGCTTCTCGCCGTGTGGAGTCGGCAGCAGGACCCAGGGAGCACCCTTCCTTTCCGTGCCAGTACCCGCATGCCCTCCCCTGTACCCACACTCACCCACCATGAGCCCATTCCAGCAGGAGCATCACGGCCTCCCGGGGTCACATCTAGGCAAAGTCTAAGCCCGCGGATGGAGCCGGACTTGAGTGGAGGAGCGCAGGCGTAGGACGGAGCCAACGGGCGCGCGCCCCATGGGCAAAGCCTCTATTCGCTGCTTCTGGCAGATCTCTAGGGCTGCCCTCGAGTTGGGGGCATCCATGAACCATCTGAGCCCCACTAAGGGCCAGGCACTGTTAGCCTCCGTGGTGCTAAACTCTTCCCTCCACTTGGCTCTTTATCACAATGACACTGAACCCTCTCCCCAGGAGAACCAAGCTGGGCGGACCCCTTTCACCTGGCAAAGGGCCTTTGAACCCAGCTGCAGGGCTTCCCAGCTGTGCCTCGGCTTCTTCAGCTTTTTTTTTTTTTTTTTTTTTTTTTTAATTTTTAAATTGTTTAATTGGACCAGGCATGGTGGCACACACCTGCAACCCTAGCTACTGGGGAGGCTGAGGCAGAAGGATTGCAAGCTCAAGGACAGCCTGGGAAACTTAGTGAGACCCTGTCTGGAAATACAGATAAAAAGGGCTGGGGATGTGGCTCAGTTGTGTAGTGTCTTTAGGTTCAATCCGCAGTACTGAAAAAGAAATGTCTAATTGACTCACGACGTCTGTACATATGATGGATGGTGATGTCATTCAGCACCTGTATACAGTGTGTAATGATCAAATCAGAGCAATTAGCGTTGGCATCGCTTCAAACATTTATGCTTTCTGTGGGTTGGGAATCTTTGGACTCTTCTAGTCCTTGTGAAATGTCACAAACTGTTCTAGACCAGGGCTATACTACTGTGCTGTAAACACCACGGGCATTCCCCTCTCTAACTTATTTTGGTCCTGGTTATCTACTTCCATCCCCTCCCCCTTCCCTTTCCTAGCCTCGAGTGACCTCTGTTCTTCCCACTTCTATGAGATGGACTGTCAGCTTCCACAAATGAGTGAGCACTTACGGTATTTGTCTTTCTAAACCTGGCTTACTTCACTTCCCATCATGTCCTCCAGTTGGTCATGTGGCTGCAGACCTGGACCCTTGCTCCCGCTGTCGTTTAGCAGAAGATTGTGAAGAATGGGAGTATCCAGTCACCATGATGCTGGGTGGCAGTCTCTTTAGCTGCCTGTTATTTTATTATTATTATTATTATTATTGTTTTGGTACTGGGGGTTGAGCCCAGGGGTGTTTAACCCTTAAGCCACATCCCCCGCCCTTTATGTTTTTTATTTTGAGACAGGGTCTTGGTGAACTGCTTAGGGCCTAAGTTGCCAAGGTTGGCTTTGAAATTATGATCCTCCTGCCTCAGCCTCCTGAGCTGCTGGTATTACAGGCTTGTGCCACTGCACCTAGCTTCACACCTATTTTTAACCTTTAATACAGTAAGAAAAGGAGAAGGTGAAGCAATACATGAACGTTTTTTCAAGTAGAGCAAACTCGGGACTCTCCTAATTCAGGCTGAAAATTTTAGGTGCGCTTTGCATGGCATTTCCCCACCAGGTGTGCGTTTGTCTGATGAAGATCTTTGCCTGCTGCTTGCTTCTCTACGATCTCTGGGCAGAGCAAGGCACAGAAGACTCATCTATGTGGCCACCAGAGCACTGTGTTATGCACCTGGCCGTGTGCCTGGGTCCAGAGGGAATGGATAGGAGCCCAGATTCATGGTAACTATTTCTCCCTTATCTAGCATAAAAGTCAGTGAGAGTGATTTCATCTTGCGCCTAGGAAGCCAACCACAACCGCCTA